GTGGTTACATTTCTCTGAATACAGACAGCATATAGCAGTTTGGAAGTTAACTTTTCAATTAGACCCTGTTGTGACACTGAGAGTCTGGAGGAAGTAAATAACTGGGAGTCTCTTAACACATGTGATGACAGGGAGGACATTTCTAAGTTAAGACTGATCATTTGGATAATTGTTTAGGAAACTGAGGTTGGACCCAAACTGTGAAATTGGTGGTTTCAGTACCGCGGTGTCGTCCATACAGATAAAAAGCAGCTCTGACCCCGTTTGTTTCAGTGTTTCAGCAGGTCCCTCTTCTTACCTCAAACTAACCTCCTGGAGCAGATAAACATATTTATTTACACTCCTACAGTAAAGGAGAGCGGCCTTCTCGTCCCACTCAGGGTTTTTCACTCACAGGAATCCACGAGGACAGACAGGGCCTGAACTTTTGAACAGAGCAATTCATAACAACTTCCTTGCAGCTGCCCCTTATTCCTTACTACAACAGCTACACACACACTACACACACACTACACACACTACACTACACACACTTCTCTCGTTCTTCTTCCACTTAAGGATGAGAGCACTAGGAGTAGTTCATTGTGGAGAAACTAGCAGCTGCTGTTCAGTGATAAAGACTTTAAGCAGTAAGTTAAACTACATGAAGAGGCTGTAGTCTACATGTAGTTTGTGTTGTGTTGTGCTGTACGTTTGAGTCCTGCTCGCTGAGACAGGAGGGAGCTCCAGTTCGGCTGTTTGTTTCATGGACGTCAGGTTTTATCAGAGCTGTCTGTGTCCAGAGTCACGGCCTTCAAGTGCTTTCAGGTCTCGTGGGACTGTTCTGCAACAGGCTGGCACCGACAGCACGTCCTTATCCAGAAGCTGCTCCTGTTTATCTCTGGGAGGGAACACAACCTCCCTTCCTGCACTGGCACACCGCTCACTCAGGAAACCCCTCAGAGCTGAGAAATAACAACGCTGAATAAATGACCTTCCAGGAATATTTACATGGAACAATCGACTGATGAAATTTATTTAACTGTCTCTGTAAACTCTTGACCAAAACCACCAGAGCCTCCTTGAAAACTCCCAAAGTGACCCACTGTCTGTGAAAACCACGTCTGCGTCAAATTACACAGGAATCAAGAAAATAATGTCCTTTTTTTTTACCTCATACAGTTTATTTGAACAGGTTTTCACCTTTGAATTCAGCCAATCAAAGAAAATATGCAACTAACTGGAAGCTCTGCTGCCATTTCAGAGGAAACCACAGACTTTCATTATCTGCTGATAACGTGAGTTTGTAACACAAGAGAAATCTGGCTGGTTCAGTTTCACTTTAGCTTATTGAGAAATCAAATCATTGGGTTCAACAATTCAAACCGACACAGCAGGTCAAATTAAACAAGACAAGCCTGAACATGTTAATGTTGTCTTCATATTTTAATAAAAGTGGGTGTGAACATCTGAACAACAGACTGTAACAATACTAAATAAAGCAACATTTAATAATGCAGTATAAATCACACCGGTCCAATAGCTCCAACACTGTGCCCTACTTTGTCCCAACCACAGTGACAGATTAGGAAGGTATGTGCAGTTATGTTTGGCAGGACGAGCCATTTCCACAGGGCATTGTGCTTTTCTCTCTCTCCTTATGAGTCATGGTCTGTGCCTTTCCCATGATGCCTCCGACCAAGAATGAGCGTCACATACCGGACCAAAAACACAGAGCGGTTAGAGCGAGAATCACATGATCCAGGCCCTAAGAGGTGATTCGCTTTAAGGACATGTCGGTGGTAATATTCTTTATGCAAATCAGAAGATATCAAACATCTTAAAAGAAAATCAGTTGGTCTGAATTTAGGTATTTTGGGATTTACTGTCAGTTATTACGGTCCGATAACAGCAACTCATTCACACGTCTCTAAAACCTGCCTCGTGTCTTCAATGGTTACAGCGACTGTGTGTGTGTGTGT